ATAATATGTAAATAGAAATTTACAGAACATTAACATGGTACTGTACGATCACAGTATCATTTTACTTCAAGACAGTAAACATTCATTTTCTACCGCTGAACGGGGGGAGGGGGGCAATCCCGGCCGGCAATCGGCGAAGGCAGGGTACACCCTGGGCAGGTCGCCAATCCATCGCAGAGCTAACACATAGACAAACAACCACACACACGCACTCCTATGGGCAATTTAGAGACACCTAAGCTGCATGTCTTTGGACTGTGGGAGGAAGCCGGAGTACCCGGAGAGAACCCACGCAAGCACGGGGAGAACATGCAAACTCCACACAGAAAGGTCCCAGGTGGGGCCCGAACCCGGATCCTTCTCGCTGTGAGGCAACAGCGCTAACCAAGCCCTACCCCCTGTGCCACCGTGCTGCCCATTAAATGCACGGAGCCAATCCCGGCCGGCAATCGGGCAGCTTGGCTGTTGACCTTATACTTTGATTAATATACTACATCGTAAACCTCGTGTATTGTCCTACATTGTCATATTGACAGTGAACCTACTTCAATGGAGGGTGACTGGGGAACAGGAACCTTCAGTGCTTCTGGACTTCAAATCATGACTAAGCTAGATAATTCCAAACTGTGCACTTAACTGTATAGAATTATGATTTACATTTGTAACGTTAATGATGATTCAAATAAAACATGCCATTTTTCTCTTTAAAAAAATCAGTTATTGCGGGTAGAGTCACTTGGGGGCAGCAGAAAGAGGCTGCAAATACAACACTGAACCTCTAAGTTGATATGGCAAGTTTGTTAGCAAACAGTTGCTTACAGTGCCTTGCGAAAGTATTCGGCCCCCTTGAACTTTGCGACCTTTTGCCACATTTCAGGCTTCAAACATAAAGTGCATGTCTTTGGACTGTGGGAGGAAGCCGGAGTACCCGGAGAGAACCCACGCAAGCACGGGGAGAACATGCAAACTCCACACAGAAAGGTCCCAGGTGGGGCCCGAACCCGGATCCTTCTCGCTGTGAGGCAACAGCGCTAACCACTGTGCCACCGTGCTGCCCATTAAATGCACGGAGCCAATCCCGGCCGGCAATCGGGCAGCTTGGCTGTTGACCTTATACTTTGATTAATATACTACATCGTAAACCTCGTGTATTGTCCTACATTGTCATATTGACAGTGAACCTACTTCAATGGAGGGTGACTGGGGAACAGGAACCTTCAGTGCTTCTGGACTTCAAATCATGACTAAGCTAGATAATTCCAAACTGTGCACTTAACTGTATAGAATTATGATTTACATTTGTAACGTTAATGATGATTCAAATAAAACATGCCATTTTTCTCTTTAAAAAAATCAGTTATTGCGGGTAGAGTCACTTGGGGGCAGCAGAAAGAGGCTGCAAATACAACACTGAACCTCTAAGTTGATATGGCAAGTTTGTTAGCAAACAGTTGCTTATTTACACATCCAGCAGTTATGGAGCAACAATAGCATTTCTTTGCAGTCTGTGCCTTTTAGCTCTGTTTTGGTCTCTACCAACTAGTGAGAGAAATGTGTGGCTCTTTAGCTGTTACATGCTCCACTCTGACCATCAGCTGAACTCTGTCATTTGGTGCTCAGTAGTCAAGAGCTTTTTTGCTGAAAACAGCTGCCCACTCCAAGAAAAAAAAAAAAAAAAAAAAGCGCTATGAGAGCAGCAAGTGTGAACAAAAACAAAAAAGAACAAAAACTAAACAGACAGCTGAATGTTGAGCTGAAATTCATTATAAAGCTCCAAAAGGCCACGGGGTGATGCAGATTCATGGGATAATTCTCTATTGTTACATAAAACTATAGATTTCATCCACTCAGCTTTGTTTTGCAAAATCACATAAAATTCACCACTACTGTGCCATTTCACTAATCATGAACTTTGTATTTCTGTCACACAGGTGTTAATCATACTGCCCCATCTGAGAAAGGATTTTCATCTGAAAACTCTCAAACAAATGACAAAACCAATGACCTCAGTGAATTTTAATGATATTTTGATCTGTGGTCTATCACCTGGGAATTTATTGTATTTTAGCTATGTTTACAGCCATGAAGCCTGACGACTAAACAGAGCTGTGGGTCTGCATCTTAAGTTTATAACAGCATATGCTGTTGGGATGAAACTTTACACACACTAACTACATCTAATACCACTTGGTCCTAACATGACCATTGATGATGGCCTTCCTTAAGTCCTTCTTAAGGAGGAACTGTGCACAGAACTGTGTTATGTCAAATGTTCAAAGTACATTTGACATATTTGACCCAGGTCTGCTTGACAGCACACAACACCTTCTTTTGCTCCATGTTATTGTTACATTCCTCAGTTCCCAGGCCAGTTTCTGTACATCAGTAGCTGTGCATGACTATACTGTTCACACAAGTCCAATGCTATCCAATGCTGTACTGCAGCAGAATCCCTTTTATTGCACAAAACATTCTTTTGTTCAGTCATATTTGCATGTCTTTTTCGATACCGCATCTGTTGTGCCTCATTGTTTCTCTCAGCCCATCTCCCTTGCCTTGTTCCTGTAATGTGAGGAGCTGGATGTCCTGAGTCCTCGGGCTAGCTATGAACAATCGCCTCATCAATTACACATTACAAGGGCGAGCAAGAAGACACGAACACACACAAAAGCACGTACACCATTGAAGTTTAGGGTTACAAGAGGTTTTCCACTGGTCTCAAGTAAAGCGGCCAACCACAACCCCACCCTGACCCCGCACCTGTTGAGGGCAGGTTAGAAACTGTCGAAAGAGAAAATTAAAAGAATCTGAAACTGCTTAGTTCCACCATCTTCTTGTTCTTTGGCTTTGATAGGGGCATACAGATTGAGTCACTTTTAATTTGGCAGAAATCCCCCTAAATGCACAGACACACGGCCCCTACAAACAACTACTACAGCATACAGTAAATTGGCGTCTTTGTATTTGCAGTCTGATGATTGAGTGTCTACTGAAACGTGTTCCTGCAATAGCCACTGCTGCAAAGCCCCTTTTCCATCGCCTGGTACTGCCTCAACTCAACTTGCTTTTTGTACCAGGTGTTTTGTCCCTCTCAATGTAGCTGGTTGTCATAGTGACACAGCATTACACTGCCATGACATTATCAGCAACCGACACGGTAATAATGGAGGACATCGAAGGTATGCTGTTCTTGATTCTCAGTATGCGGCTGTTTTTAGTTAGTACAGTAATATAGCATTAAATTATGTTGCTTTTAAAAAAATTGTACTTTCTGTGTTCCAGGACATCTCGCAAGTTGATGATGTGATTTCTCTGGCCAATCGTCAGTCTGCAGTGTTTACACGTCACTGTTTGGTATCAACTCTGCGATACAATTCCCAAATTTTTAACTGATGGGAAAAACAAATAAGGCGAGTCGAGTCGGTACCAGGCGGTGGAAAGGGGGTTTAAGTCAGATCATTTACCTGGATGGCTGTCCGGCCACTTGGCAAATCCCCCCACCAATCGATCTTGTGTGGACAGGATGAAGTTCCTGTTCTTGTCAAAGTTCGTATACTGGAACACATCTAGCAGCTGGTTAAGGGAGAGTGGAGGAACAGTGTGAGAACACAGAAGGAGAATGAAGCAGATGTTTCACCATTAGATAAAACTAAATATATACAGTAAAAAAAAAAACCTTCAGTTTATAATACAATCAGTTACTGTTGTGTTTACAAAGGTAGGTTACTGCAATCAATGATCACACATATGATATTCTCCATCTACACAGATACTGGTGGAAATAACATCAAACCTCAGTGTTTGCCATATTGCACTTGCCATGTACAGATATTTTATTTGAGAGTGCACACTTGTCCCTCTGGCACAGTTCTGACCCAGAAATTCAAAGTTGTGTACTGTGTTTACTTGTGTGTGTGTGTGTGTGTGTGTGTGTGTGTG